GTCCTTGGGTTGTGTATATATGCACATAAATTCTTTGGTTACTCTCTCCCCCTCCACCCACCCACCCTCCTCCCTCCCTCTGACATTCTTCAGTCTCATCTATGCTTCCATGTCATTGAATCTATTCTGTTCATCAGTTTATTAAGGTCTTTAGATTCCACATATAAGCGAGATCATGTGATGTTTGTCTTTCTCTGCCTGGCTCATTTCACTCAGCATAATTTTCTCCAGGTCCCTCCATACTGTCCCAAAGGGTACGAGATCCTTCTTTACAGCTGCATAGTATTCCATGGTGTGAATGTCCAACAGCTTTTTATCCACTCATCTACTGCTGGGCACTTGGGCTGTTTCCAGATCTTAGCTATTGTAAACTATGCTGCTGTGAACATAGGGGTGCGTATATTCTTTCTGATTAGTATCTCAGGATTCTTAGGATATATTTCTAGAAGTGGGATCACAAACTTTGCATGTCACTGACTTCTTTGCTGTGCCCAAGCCTGGCACAGTGCCTGGCACAGTCAGTGCCCAGTACATACTACAGTGCCTGTGACATAGGGTATGTCAGTGGAAGTGTTTGGGATAGGTAGATGTCTTCATTTCCTTTGGCTGCTGTAACAGGGTACCACACACTGGGTGGTTTAAAACTGAAGACATTTATTTTCTTAGTTCTGGAGGCTAGAAGTCTGAAATCAACTTACTATCAGGGTTGGTTCCTATTTGGGGCTCGGGGAGAATCTGTTCCTTCCTTTCCTCTGAGCTTCTGGTGGTTGCTGGCAGTCCTCCTTGCTTCTTGGGCTGCAGAAGCATCATCCCCATCTCTGTCTCTGTCTCATGTGGCTTCTCTTCTCTGTTGTCTGTGTCCAAATTTCCCTCTTCTCATAAGGACACCCGTCATGGGATTTAGGACCCACCTTAATCTGGTCTGACGTCATCTTAACTTTGCTATGTTTGCAAAGACCCTATTTCCAACTGAGGTCCCGTTGCCAGGTACCAGGGTTTGGATTGAACCTATTTTGAGGGTCACAGTTCAACCCACTACAAAGGACATGTGGGGAAAGGGTGTTCCAGACAAGGAGAACCAAGGAGCAGAGGTGGGAGGGTCTGGAAGATCCAGGGAGTTGCAGGTGGTCCTGCACATGGTGAGCAAGGAGCAGGCATGAGATGCAAAATGGAGGGGCAGGGAGTGCCAGCTGAACTGGGGAACTTGTGGGGGCGGGGGTAAGGCGGTTTAGCTTGTGGCAACCAAGCAGTTTTCATGCTGGGTGAGATGCAGGCAGAACTGGAACTGTGCTTTGGTGAGAACCACAGGGGACCCTGAGATGGAGATAGGAAGTGTCCCAGCAAAATCTCATGGCCCTCAGGCCTAGCTAGCTGGCCTGGAGTCCAGGACCTGCCCTGCAAAGCTCTCCACTGGTTTGGGACCAGGGAGTCCTTGCTGTCCAGTGCTGTGCTCCCAACACCATTGGGCCATCTCCATGAACTGCAAGGCTGGGCTTGGGCTCCTTGGAGGGGGCCCTTGAGCACCAGGCCTTGGCTGGCATGCAGGTGCCTCCTTGCTACTTGGCACAGGTAATTGCTTAATAAATAAATGTAACTTTCATTGTTACTGTTTGTATTGCAGCTCTTGGTTGGTTTTCTCTGCAGGAGGGTGGGAATGGTGTCTTCTTCTGTCCCAGTACCTTGTCCAGGGGGAGATAAGCTCCATGGGAACAGGATGGAGTTGATAGGAAGGTGGGCATCTGGGATGCTTGCCATGTGGCCTGGAATAGGAAAATGAGGCCAGTGAGGGCAGGTGCCATGCCCAGGATCTGAGAGCCAGGGACAGGTCGAAACTGGGGCAACCCTGCCCCATTGTTTGGGCCAGCCCTGTCTGTGCCAAGGAGCACGGGGTGGAGGGTGGGCTCTCTGTGCTCTCTCAGATGTGGAACATGTGTTCCAGAACGTGGTCTAATTTGGTAAGGAAGGTACATGGACTATTTTCAAAAATTAGAGCTGTCCCCACAACTGCAAATGGCTTGGGGACTCCTAACCTCCCTTAACGGTTAACCGATCGTTTTAGGCAGTTGTTACTAAAAGTGCTTTCTCCCCAGGGAAGGGGCACTGTCCCCTCATTCCAGGCCTTGGGCCAGCCCTGGGGAGGGTGGGGATCGCCCCCTTAGCTGGGTAGTGACCTAGGGAGAGCCAGGGTTTCCCTCCTCACATTTGTTTCTAGGTTAGACTCTACTCATCAATACCACCCATGCACGTGAAGAGTTATAGAGCTGCGAGGTGTGATTCTTCTACCTCCTGCTCTGTTCCCGCTTCCCAGCAATACCCTCTTGTCCTTCTCATCACTAAACCAAGTGGCTGCTTCTTAGATGTTTTTAGTTCTAGGCTCTGTCATCCTCATCGGGCTCTAGCTGCTATAGACGGGGTGCTTAAATGGCAGACATTTCTTTCTCACAGTTCTAGAGCCTGGAAGTCCAAGGTCGCGGTGCTGCAGGTTCGGTTCTTGGTGGTGTCTTCTCTCACTGTCCTCATGGTGCACAGAGCTGGACAGGGCCCTCTGTGTCCTCATAGCTTTCTTCTCAGGCTATCTTTTGCCTTTCTCACTCCCTGAGTCCCCCACTCCCCATTTCCTGCCAGGTGCGCAGTGGGGAAGGTCCAGGGATCTCAGCCAGGGTTCCCCATTGTGGGTTCCCCCGTGTGGCTCAGTGTCACATTCAGCACCCCAGGATCTCTAATCCTGTTATCACTTGTCCATTTGCTTCTAGAATCCTGCTGCAGCACAGCTGTCTCGGCCCTATCCCCCCTGTCCCTGTGAGTGTTTGCCTTTTCCATCCCTTACTCACTGGGGTAGGTCTGCGAGGGTTTTCGGCCCAATGAGCACCCACCTGGCCCTTTTACCCACATGTTGTGGACTTTTCCTGAGTGTTTTTGTGTGTGTGTTTGTGTGTTTTAATTTTAATCCTCACCTGAAGATATTTTTTCCATTGCTTTTCGGGGCGGGGTGGGGGCGAGAGAAACATCCATGTGAGAGAGACACGTCGATGGGTTGCCTCCCGCAGGGACCGCAACCGGGGCCCAGGATCGAGCCTGCAACCAAGGTACGTGCCCTTGGCCGAAATGGAACCCACAACCCTTTAGTCTGCAGGCCGATGCTCTAACCACTGAGCAGAACCGGCCAGGGCTTCCTGAATGTTTTTAACTTAGTTGAGACAGTATTCGGTGTCCCACTTTTCTTTCTTTTTTAAAAAACATTTTGTAACATTTTCTCAAGCTGATAAATTTTGTAACATTTTCTCATGCTGATAAACTTTGTAATTTTCTCACGCTGATAAAGATGACAAAAACCTTTGCAATGCTGCTTAACATCTTCCATGGCTGTACTGTAACTTGCATAAGTCTCCACAGAAGTCTCCTGGCGTTGCCCATTTAGCCCCCAGGACGTGCCGAAGTGAACATCCCGTACTGAAAATGTTTTAGTGCTTACGCACTGGGTGTCCTTGGGAGAGAATTCCTGCCTGGGGGCGTGAAGCTTCCAAGGAAAGAAAGCTCTGTTACAGTTGTTTTCCTTTGTTAACTGATCTGGAGAAAAGAATCATAATGTGTGAATGACCGGAATGCCCTTTCCTGATGTGTGGGAGCACCCTTCACCTGCCCCAGGTGAGCAGGGCAGGCAGCTCTGGGCTCACAGCGCCCCCTGGTGGCTCCCTGTTGAGCCTGCTCCTGGGCCGAGGTGGGTATTGCTGGACTTGGGGCACCACCTCCACAGTGGGGACAGAGTGGAAAGCATGAGGAGGAAGTTATAATGTAAATAAAAATCAAAGCAAGAGGAACCAGCCCTGGTGACTCAGGCTGAGATGCGGCAGGGAAGGGGGGGCAGGGCGCAGCTGATCTTGGCCCTGCAGTGTAGTGGGGGCCAGGTCCTCTGTGCCCCCATCTCCTCCGTGGGTGGGTTTGGGCCCAGGGCTCTGTAGAAGCAGGACATACCATCGGAGCCCAGTTAGGCGGCCGTGTTGCACAGGGAGGGAGTGGCACTGGGACGATGTGCTGGGTCACACACGGTGGCAGGTAGGTGGGTCCCTCTGCCCCCTTGCTGCCAGGGCCTCACTCGCTTAGGCTGGCAGAGCTGAGCATGTCTGGAGGAACCTCTGGGGCCAGATGACTGGGTACAACCTGGTGGGGACGAAAGAAATAAACTTTTCCTTTGGCAACAGTTTCTGGGCAAAGGCCTTTTATGTGAAGCGGCACTTGCTGTGGGCTCGGTTCTCCTGCTCCCTCCAGAGCAGGAGGCTGGCTGCATGCGTGGCCGTGAGTAAGCCACACCCTTCTCCGCCTCTCCATGTCCAGGTGGAGAATGCTTCCCCTGGGCCCGCCCAGCTGGCCATCCTGTGTGCTCACCGGTCTCTGCCACATGTCCATCCCCTCGTCCCCTCCCATTAGGCTGTCCTCTCTCTCTGGCTCCTCCCATCACCTCCTCCTGGATCTCCCAGCCGTACTGCATGGCCGTCCTAGGACGTGGCTATTGTAGGTCTTGCAATGCTCTGTGGGGATGAGAGCTGCCTCCCCTGGGAGGGACTCTTGTGTGGCTGGCATTTGAGGGCCTCACACCCTCCAGACAGGTCTTGGAGTCCTGGATCCGTGTTATAGATTCTTAACTCACCCTAGCTGGACAGGTGCATTGTCCTCAGGGGCCCTAGATGGGGGTGGGTTCTGGGGGCCGTGGGATCCCATCTGCAGGTAAGAGAACTTGGGGCCTGACCATGGGGTGGTAGGGGCTGTGTGCTTAGCACGGGGCTGTAGAAAGGGCTCGGCCCTGCTGGCTGAGGTATACATAAGAGTGGCAGTGTATATATAGAATGCCCGCATGCTGACAGCAGGCATTGTCACATCTAGTCAGTGACTGAGCCCACGGCCCATAACCTACAGCAGGGCACCATAGATGCACCCACGTCTCGTGCTCATGTCTGCTTCTCCCTCAGATGCTGGACGAGAACCACCACCTGATACAGTGCATACTGGACCATCAGAGCAAGGGCAAGACGGCCGAGTGTGCCCAGTGAGTGCCTGCCCCCAGCCCGGCTGTCGGGGAGTGTAGACTGTCTTTGCCCAGTGCCAGGAAGGCCTCCATTGGGGCGTTGAGTGGCCTAAGTACATTGGTCTGTGGAAGTCACCTAAGCCACTGAACATTGTCCCCCGGGAGACAGTCACATTGCCCCCAGGTTGCTCCCCAATGAGGAGTGGAAAGTTTGAAGGGAAATGGAAGTGTGGGAGGAGAGAGGGCCGCTGGAGAGGCCCAGGCTGGACACTACTGGCAGCTCTGTGAGCAGTTGGTGGACACACGAGAAGACAGTGAGCTCCATCCAGGTAGGACCTCAGGTGTGGACACAGAGTAGATGCGTGAGCTGGGCAGCAGAGCCACCTGGTGGGTGACGTGTGCGCCCATTGTACCCACCTGGGGCATCTCACATCGAGCTGTGCTTCCTCCTCTCCCAGCACCTCTTCGGGGGGTGAGCGTCGAGTCAGCCAGGCTCATCTGCAGGGGGGCTTGTCCCCACCCTCTTTCTGAAGAGGCCAGGCAGCGCCTCCCCCTGGGCCACCACCTTGGAGTCTTTGCAGTGTTTTGTCATCGGACAGGAGTGCACTCTCCACCTGGCCCAACTCATACTGCAGAGCACTCGGCTGCCTGCCCTGTCCCCAGGGGTCCTCTGGGGCCAACATCCCTGGGCGGGCTGCAGGGCAAGGCTGTCCTGGGTGAACTTGGCTTTGGATTGGCCTGCAGGCTCCCCTGCTCACTGCATGCCCCTCACCTGCAGGTATCAGCAGATCCTGCACCGGAACCTCGTCTACCTGGCCACGATCGCAGACTCCAACCAGAACATGCAGTCCCTGCTCCCTGCCGTGAGTGCTGGGGGGGGTGTCCCAGCGCAGTTAGGCACTGCCTCAGACTGCTGGCGAGGGAACAGAGGTCTGAAGTCTTACCTGGCCTGGCCAAGGTCCCCAACAGGGGGCGAGATGGGGCGGATACTCCCATCATAAGAGAAGTCATTTGGACTAGTACCTGGAGTGGCTGCTGGCTGGTAGTCATTCTCTGAGCTGACCCTCCTCCCATAACCTCTTGTCGCCCACAGCCACCCAGCCAGAACATGAACCTGGGCCCCGGAGCGCTGTCCCAGAGCAGTGCCAGTCAGGGCCTGCACTCCCAGGGCAGCCTCAGCGACGCCATCAGCACTGGCCTGCCCCCGACTTCCCTCATGCAGGGCCAGATCGGCAATGGTGAGCACCCCAGGGGTGGCATTTGGGTTTGCAGTTGGTTCCTGCAACAGTGGCACCAACACAGGCTCCCAGGTGGCCCTGCAGGGCTGAGCACGGGAGAGCCCTCTCCTCCCAGAGATCCTGGCTGCGGGCAGCTGCAGTGCCCGAGCGAGGGGCTAGCATGCAGAGCATAGCCCTCAATCCAGATCTCTTGTGATCCACATCTCAGATTAGGGCCACTTCAGATCACAACATGGGGTTTCATGGGGACTTTCTAATGAGAATGAAAATGCTCCTGTCTCCAGACCTAGAACTGTTGACAGCCGCCGGGACCTATTGGTGACAGTGTAACAGTACACATACAATTCATCTCCTTGAGGGAAACCAGCGTGCCTGGCAGGGGGGCCAGGCCTGCCATCAGAGGCGCCTTTAGATGCTCGAAGGCATCCTCACCTGTTCCTCCTGGCAGGTCCGAACCACGTGTCCATGCAGCAGACGGCACAGAGCACGCTGCCCACGACCTCCATGAGCATGTCCGGCAGTGGCCACGGTTCAGGGCCTGGCTACAGCCACTCTGGACCTGCCTCACAGAGTGTGCCCCTGCAGGGCCAAGGTGCCATCAGCAACTACGTGTCACGGGCCAACATCAACATGCAGTCCAACCCAGGTAATGCCCCACCTCGTCCCAGGCCCATGCCCCTCCAAAATGTGCAGGTCACACACAGTCTGCCCTCCTGCTGGGCTCTGGGCTGGTGCTGAGGGAAGAGAGGATGAGTCCCAAGGGTCCCCCTCCTCCAGGAGGTTTCCCAGGGCTGGAGGTTGGTGGGTATAAGTCAGGCGCGGCCCAGCTTTGGGGGCCCACGGCTTAGAGGAGGCTCTGCAGAAGGTAGCCTGTGCCCTGCTGAGAGGACAGGACCGGGGTCACTCAGGTGGGGGGCGGCACGGTGGAGCAGAGGGGTGGGAGGTAAAGGGTGGCTGAGCTGCCCGGGCATTCTCCCCAGAGGGGCCCCAAGGGCTGGGCTGTCCACCACAGTGGCCTCGGGGCTCTGAGCACTTGGGGAGCATCAGGTCCAAACTGAGGTGTCACATGAGTCTTAGACACTGGATTTCAGAGGCTCAGGCCAGAAAAGAGGGTGTGAGGCATCTCCTCGATTTTTAGTATTAGTTACATACTGAAAACGACCCTATTTTGGATATATTAAGTCAAATAAAGAGTATTACTAAAACAGGTTTTACCTATTTCTTTTCACTCTTGATGTGGCTCACATCCCATTATGTTGGGCGTTGCTGAATGAGAGGGTTCTGAGCAGGGTGACAGAGTGGACAGGCAGGTGGCTGGGAGCCGTGTGGCATTTTCTGAATGTTACACATTGTAAGGGTTGGCACAGAGGTTTGCTGGTAGGAAGTGTGACGGGGACCGGAGGGGACAATCTCTAGGAGGAGCCGCAGGACAACAGGGAAGGCTCACCTGGGAGAAGGGAGCCGTCGGGGGCAGGGGCACCGCCCGGGAGCTTCCCGGGGTTATTGGGTCTGTCGTGTCGCCCAGTGTCCATGATGCATCAGCAGGCTGCCTCGTCCCACTACAACTCGGCGCAGGGCGGGAGCCAGCACTACCAGGGCCAGCCGTCCATCCCCATGATGGGCCAGAGTGCGCAGGGGAGCGGCATGATGGGGCAGCGGCCCATGGCGCCCTACCGGCCCTCCCAGCAAGGTACAGCCTGCACCGGGAGCCCGTGTGCTCCTCCCTGGGGCCAGGGGAGCGGGGGTGAGACCGTGGATTCATTGGATTGCACAAGGACGCTGGGGGCTGGAGCTGCATGGTGCCAGGAAACGTTCAAGCTGGAAAGCCATTGCCTGCCTGGGGGCGGTGAGGCTGGAGCCCTGGGCGGGGCCGTGGGCGGGCGGCTGTGTGTAAGTGGACAGTCCGGGGTTGGAGGGCCGGCTGTGGGGACAGTGCTCCGGTGTCCCTGGGCGTGGGGGGGTGTCCTGACGTGGCCCTCTGAGGAGGCGCCCGTGGGGCAGGCCCGAGCTCACCCCGGCCCGCCCGCCGCAGGCTCGTCCCAGCAGTACCTGGGCCAGGAGGAATACTACGGGGGCGAGCAGTACGGCCACGGCCAGGCCGCGTCAGAGCCGCTCAGCCAGCAGTACTACGCCGACGGTGAGGCTCCGACCGCGCTCCCACCTCGCCCGACGCCGGCCCACCCAGGCCCCGCCCGCGCCTGAGTGACGGGCCCACGGAAGCTTCCAGGACTGGCCATGGCCACTGGCCCCCTGGGCTGCTCGCTTCTCTTCCCGAGAGGCAGCGGAGCCAGGACCAGCCGTGTGACCCTCCGAGCAGGTGCTGTGGCTGCGAGGGCGGACGCAGCTGCCTATGAAACGCCTCCCAGGAAGGAAGGCCTGGCCCGCTGCTCACGTCTCCTAACACTCGGCTCCCAGCTGCTCGGTGGGAATGTCTGTAGGGGGCTTTCCTCCTCCCTTCACCTTCCAGTCATCTCTAATAGCCCCAGGGCCTGCAGGTGGCATTTGCAGTGGTAGGAAGTCATGGCTAGGGAGGAGAGGGGCTCCCTGACAGGGACCAGGCGTGATCGGGCCGGGGGTGGCTGACACCAACGCAAGGCAAGCCGGGCCCCCCACATAGCGGTGATGAGTCCTCGGAGGGGCCCCAGCTCCCCTGATGGGTTATCCTGCAGCCTGGACAGTGGGATGATTACCATGCAGCAGTGCTGACAGCCAGTGGCACTGGTGCTTGTCATGTGTCGGGCACTGAATGTTGGCAGTCCTCTCCGGAACCCAGGGGCGGCGTGGCTGTCTGTATTTTACTTACAGGGACTGATGGTGGGCTCCTTCATGGGTTCCATCTTTGGGGAACCGATCCTGCCCAGCTTTGGCCAATGCCCAACCCCACAGCACTGCTGGTCTGGCTCACAGCTATTCCCGTTCTCCCCTGCCCCAGCTTTGGTGGTCAGGCCCCTGATTGCCAGCTATCCTGTCTGCTTTCATCTGCTTGCAGGGCATGGTGACTACGCCTATCAGCAGTCGTCCTACTCGGAGCAGAGCTACGACCGGTCCTTTGAGGAGCCCACGCAGCATTACTATGAGGGTGGTAAGGCTCACCGTGGTGGGGTGGGTAGTGTGCCTCAGCTCAGGCACCATCTTGCAAGCACTGGACACGCTCAGAGTAGGGGCAGAGCTTTGTGGGGTCACATTGACTTCTGGAAGTGGGAGGTCAGGCTGTGCCTGGGCCCCAAGCCCCTGGTGCATTCAGGAAATGGAAGGGTTGGCCACGTTGGGGCCACGGGGTCCAGACTCTGCCCTGTGACAAGGCTGTGTGTGCAAGCCACCCTCAAATGCCAAATTCACCAAGAGACCAAAGGGGGAGGCAGACTAGGCCAGCTTGTGGGTTAATGGGTTTAACAGGAACCTACATTCAGGAACGGGTCCTGGGCAGCTACAAACAGCAGAAATCAACTCCACGTCTCCTCTACTCCGCAGGGAACTCGCAGTATAGCCAGCAGCAGGCAGGGTACCAGCAGGGTGCGGCCCAGCAGCAGACGGGGTACCAACAGCAGTACCCCAACCAGCAGAGCTACCCAGGCCAGCAGCCAGGCTACGGTAAGCGGGCACTCCCTGCACAGACCCCACAGCAGTGCTGTCGTCCTGGCACTCACTTGCTACGCTGTCACTTCGGAATAGCTTTAGATTTGCGGGAAAGCTGCAAGGAGAGGAGAGTTCTTTTGTTAGCTTTGTGCCTTGTCATGGTGCAGCTTTCACATCGGTCCATCGCTGTGGCCTAAACCCTCGGGATTCAGATCTCACTCGTTTTCCCTGAGTGTCCTGTTTTGTCTGGGGACCCAGCTGGAATCTTAGGCTTCTCTGGGCTCAAACAGTTTCTCAGACTTTCCTTGCCTTTCTTTTTTTCTTTTTTTGTAAATCCTCACCTGAGTATGTGTTCATTGATTTTGAGAGAGAGAGAGAGAGAGAGAGAGAGAGAGAGAGAAAGAAACATCAATGTGAGAGAAACCTTGATTGGTTGCCTCCCCTACATGCCCTGACTAGGGATCAAACCCACAAGGTATGTGCCCTGGCCGGGACTCGAACTTGAAACCTTTCTGTGGCACACAGGACGGCACTGCAGCCCGTGAGCCCCGCCAGGGCACCATGTCTTTCTTGACTTTGGCAGTTGTGAGGAGGGCAGGCAGGTACCTTGTAGGACGTCCCTCGGGGGATTTGTCTGATGTTTTTCTCAGGATGAGGCTGAGTCATGGGCTTTGGAAAGGCCACAGAGATAGGGAGCCCTTGTTGTCACCTCCGGTGCTGACTGGGTCAGGGGGCGTCTGTCTCCTCTGACCTTTGGAACACGCCCCGGAGGACAGTTCGCACTGGGGGCAGGGGTGGTCTGCATGGATTGTTCAGAATCTTTGTGTCCAGAAGGTCTGTCTCCACTGAGTCACTAGCCGACATTTACAGGAGACAACTTCATGGTTGGGCCCCAGAAGACAACACTTTACTTTTAGTTACTACAGAAATGTCACAAAAATCAGTCACATACAGAAATGTAAAAAAAGAATTTGTAAATATAAAAAATTCTATGTAGCACATTGTCCAACTACAATGAAATAACATTAAAAACAGCCCTGGCCAGTTTGGCTCAGTGGTAAGAGTGTCAGCCCACAGACGGAAGGTTCCCGGGTTCGATGCCAGCCAAGGGCATGCGCCTTGGCTGCAGGCTCGATCCCCAACCCCAGCTGGGGCTCGTTCAGGAGGTGCCCAGTCGATGTGTCTGTCTCACATCGATGTTTCTCTCTCTCCCCCCCTTCCGCTCTCTCTGAAAAGCAATGGAAAAAATATCCTCAGGTGGGGATTAAAAAAATAAAGGCAAACTAGAATTTAAAAATCACTGTATTGGTGCACGTGGACATTAGCCTCTCGCGTTGGGTTGTGATTCAGCGCTTGTTTATTTGTTGTCCGCGTCATCCCAGCGCTGGCTCCTGGGACCCTGGATGTGCCCCATCCTGTTTCCGAGCACTTATTTACTTCTGGGACCACAGTGCTGCCCCCACCCAGCTTTTCTGAATTCTTCCCACAACCTTCAGCTTAGTTTCCACAGGAGTGATCACTGTCTGCCCCTTGCTAGTGTGCCCACCCGCTGCTGTGAACTCACCTGGTGATAGTCACCACTGCATGTGATGTGGAGTGTGTGGGGCAGCGGGGGTGCTGGACAGCGGCTCGGCTGGGGGTGCAGCACAGCCAGCCTGGCCCAGGGAGCGCACTGGCTGTGCCCGCTTGCTGAGGAGCCTGGGTCTGTCGTCCGGAGCTTTCCAGGGGGCGGGGAGCACTGGGGTGGCCTCACGGCTGGTGTGTTCCCAGGGCCAGCCCAGGGAGCCCCCTCGCAGTACTCCAGCTACCAGCAAGGACAAGGCCAACAGTATGGGAGCTACAGGGCGTCGCAGACCGGCCCGTCCGCACAGCAGCAGCGGCCCTATGGCTACGAGCAGGCAAGCTTTCCCCTCGTGCAGGTCTGCGTGTCCGTCAGAACACGACCAAGGTTCTCTGTGGTCACAAGGAGTGATGCGATGAACCGGCTGGCTTCCAGGGGGCTGATCTCTGACCCTGTAAGGTTTTATAAATTACCTCGACAGCTCACCCTGACCGGACAGCTGGTTTTGTGCTTCCTAACCTCTCAGATTCCAGCATCCTCCCCTGCCGTGGAGGCTCATGTGTGCCTCCCAGCTGAGAGCTGGGGACACACAGCAGCTACACACAGGTGGCCGCGCCTTTAGAGCTGGACGCTGCCTGGGGGCTGGGATGGAGTCAGGCCAATAGTTCTAGGAAGGAGGGCCCAGAGGGGCCAAGGGACAGAGTGAAGGGTGGCTGGGCTGGCTCAGACCAGCATGGGGGCCCTCTACGCTGAAAAAGCCAGTGACCACCCTGTTGGTAGATCTGGGCAGGAGGCCATCAGCTTGTTCGCCTGCTGTGCCTCCTTCCTTGTCTCATCCTGCAGGTTGGCTGAGATAGCACTTTCTGCTCATGACAGGGGTATAATCTCTGTCCTGGTCTCTTGCAGGGCCAATATGGAAATTACCAGCAGTAAAGGACAGTGTTCCTGGTGGAGCTTTGCAGTGGTGCATCCTTCCATGGTGGACGGGCCTGTGGCGGTTCTGATGAACTATGGCCTGTCGGTTGCCCCTTCGCCCCACACGTGTCTCGTGAAGTGTGCACATTTCATTCTGGGTATGATGCCAAGTGTGCACCGGGGCCGTGGGACCTCGTTCTGACGGTGTGGCGTGCCTGGTGCTCTGTATAGTATCATGTCCGTACAGTGAATGGAAATGCCAGCCCTTTTTTGTTCCCCTCAATGTTTCTAGTTAGCTTTAGGGGTCCTCTTGCCATCAGAGTATTCTGTGCCCAGCAATGGGACATCTACAAGATGCCATAGTTGGTGTATCCATATAAACAGACCTTAGGTCCAGCTCTCCTCGCGCAGTGGTATTATGGATTGTAAACCTGTGTCACTGGCGACCCCGCAGCTGGACCTGCTTGCACAACCCTGGATGCAGCCCCTTCCTGTGCCTCAGTGGGGTGGGGCTTCGTCTGTATTTTGGGTCTGTTTCTGTTAAAGCATAAATGTTTCATGTGGAGAAGCTGCAAACTGTCCCTGCCCCATGGTTTCCAGAGCTTGCTCATGGCCTGTGTCTCTAGCCAATTCCCTTTATCCAAAAAGTTACATGTTCTTGTTTTAAAAAGTAAAGAGGGATCGTGACTATGTTGCAAATATGACCCAGGGAGGTGCAGTACCTGCAGGCGGAGAGGAGGTTCCCTGACATTGGTCTCCAGCCCTTGTTTCTATCTGATAGTCATTTTGGGGATTTGAATATTTACTATTCCCCATTCTAAATTTATAGCTAAAAATAGTGATCCCAAATTTTCCACACAGTTGGCCAGTTGTTCATTTTGTTATTTCTTCCAGGACCTGCTTGTTTAGATCTCCAAGCAAGCATTCCTTTTCTTTTAGGAATATCTGAAACTCACATCTCGTTTTTTAAAAGAACCCCAGTGAGTTTACTGTGTTCTTCTGAGTGAAAAGGAAGGTTCTGTGTAGGAAGCTTGGGTGATTTTTACATTCCCAGGACGTTAAATCCCATTTAAATTCTGTGCACACATTAAAGACAGCTCACTTGGAAAAGTCTGGTCAGAGGGAAAATCCTACATTTCACTAAGACTGATGTTTTATCAGTCTTTACTTGGATAATAATATCCACTTTAACTGTGAATCCTTTAAAAACATCTTTGGATAAATGCTGACATATTTCCAAGAACAACCAAAAATAAATACAAAAAACATCCAGTTCTTGATACATCAGGTCTACTGGGATAGAAGCGTTTATTCAAAAGCCCTTAACTGGTAAGGGCCTAAAAGGACATAGCTGTATGGAATTGCTGGGGTGGGAGGTCCTCCTGCGGGGTGACACCGGGTGGGCAGCGTCCTCCCTCTGGATTTTGTTTCCTTTCCTGACAGTTTTAAGAGAACTAATTTGCAAACTTAATCAGGGACTAAAATTTCCCACTGAAAATGTTAAACATTTTAGATAACTGTGAATCTAGTTTATTTTTATTCCTTGCCATCCTGGGAATATGCCTTTTACGTGTGTGGGTTTGTGGTTTTTTTTTAAGTGCTGTGTGGATACTTTTTGAAAGAAAAGGACACTTGAAAGTTATCCCAAAACTTCAATCTGAAATGTCTTACATTAAGAATTTCTTGAATGTTGTGTACATATTTTAAAAAGCACTTTGTGAAATAGTTTGTACATTGATTTCCTAATTTATACATGCTTTTTGGTGTTAACATATTTAAGGATTAATAACAGAATGTTTATTTAATGTGTTGTCCGTTTTTATGTGACATGGGGGGGTGATGCCAGCAGTTGTCGCTGACTGTCCTGTTTTCTCTTCTGTGATGTTTGCAGCAGCTCGGGCTTAAACGAGTGGCTGGCGCCGGGCGCGGGCGGCG